GGATATAGCTCGCTAGCAGCCTCGCACCGAGGACCTATCCACGTCATCATTTACCCAGAATGCTTTGCATGTAAATAAAATGGCGCTATCCGTGTTAAAACATATTAAAAAAATTACAAAACTAAACAGCCTACAGTATTTTTACAGTCTTTATTTTACAGTTAAAATAAATGTTTATCAAATAAAGTCTAATGTTACAACTAATCATGGATCCCTTTAAAGCTCAACTTTTACATTTGGATTTTGAACATTTAAATTCAGCATTTAGTAAAAATAAGCTAAAAGTAATAACAGTGAGCTAAACAGTAAACATTTTATTTTACACTTTGTGCCCCATAATGACCAAATTATGCCCAATTATTTAGTTGCCAAAGATGAAATCCTAAGCTGCTGCATTTTATTAAAACAATTTAAAGATTACAATAAGCCGTCGTCTTTTTACAAACCTCACCTTCATTTGCAGCAAAGATCATTTTCTCTAATTTAGGAAATCAGCAAACAAACAAGTCGTGTTGTGAAGCTTGTGTAACCATTTTTGAGAAAGCAGAACAAAGATGCTCTAAAACTAACTGTGAAAGATTTTAATTATCAAGGAGCTCTGAAAATGACGAGTGTTTGCTTTATTTGCTCATTTATCAGCCCACACATGACGCTTTTACAAACCGAGTTTGTTGTTTAGCATTCCCAAATAACGTGGGCAACTTTGAAGTGAACATATCAGCCAAACACTTGTGTTGACAGAAACTGATCAAAAAGAAAAAGTTTTACCCTGAATCAGAAAACATAACCTGAAACTAGCTGGTCTCGATTGTGGTGCCTCATTTACTCCTTTTGTGAACATTGGATTAAAAAATCCAGTCTACAGGGAATAAAACTTCTAACTCCGCTTTAATTTGACTTATTAAGCATGCAGCAGCAACACATAAATTAACAGAGTAAACAGAGTCGGCGTAAACATCTTCTCTTGTGAAATTCATTACCACTTCAGGAGCGAGGAGGTCTGCGCTCCAGAGACCGGCAGAAGGAAAAGTAGTGTGCAAGCAGAAAACATTTGGCACACAGCAGCACAACACTGTCGACAACGAGCGAGAATAAGTTTAGTAAGGCTAAACAGACAGGCACGTTAATGCAAAGTCAGAAAAGTTGGCTTTTTCCTCAATGTTAGACATTAGTAACAGCAGAGGCAGAGAGGAGCAGCTTTCAGGATAAAATCCTAAAATACTGCAAAATATAAAAACAGTTAAAACATTATTTTTAGCTGGAAAGGTATTAGCTGAAGCAGTTTCAGTTTAGCAGACAGAAGCAAATCGCAGTCTTAGAGAGAATTCAGTTTAAACATTTTTTTAACTCTGCCCGTCTGATTAACCTCACCTGCTGAGAGTAAAGGTGACGACGGGTCGTCATCCCAAACATAGTCAAAACAAGTATTACCGTCCTCCATTTCATTGCTGATCGCAGCGTTACCATTGGCCACATTTTTCTTATACTTGGAGCCCATGAAGAACCGCTGCATGCTGGAGTTGAATCTATAAAAAAAATAATAATAACTAGACATGGGTTTTTACGATGTAAAAACAAGTGTGCATTGCCATGTAGCATGTCATTGCAGCATGGCTTTGCCTGCAGCATTGGACTTGCAGAATGAACTGTGACCAAGTTCAAATGTGTTTTCTATACCAGCTGTCACGTCAGCAGGTGTTTGTAATGAGGGTAATTGTGTGACAATATGAAGTTTGTAAAGATTTTCTGTTAAAGTTACCGTAGCTGGATTTCAAACCGTAATCTCCCACATGAAAGCCCACGACACTAACCATGAGACCATTGGAG